CTGCGGCGCCCGGCCGGCCCTGCCGCTCCTCACGCGTGTCGGCGGCCGGAGGTCGTCCGCTCCTCCGTGCGTCTGGTCCTGGGTGCGAAGAACCCGGCAGGACAAAGCGAAACGAGGTTTTGAAACTCGGGTTTGCCAATAAATCCTCTTTCCCCGTTAGTGGTTTCGGACTCGCCTTCCTTTCCACAAGCCCTGCGGGTTACGCCTGGGTTGGGGCGCACCCAGTTCTTCCAAAAACTTGAACCACCTGCCAAAGCTCTAGCTGTCTCAATGCTGTAGAACCAACGAGAACGTGCGCGAGTGCAAGAATTCACTTTTTTTTGTAAAAAACCAGCCCGGAGGCTGGAGAACCTCCGGCCGGCCAGGGCCTGCTAACAGGGAGAGCGGGTTCGCCACTCGTGGTGCTCAGTGAGGCTGCGGGGCCTGACGCTCGGCTTCAGCTCAGTCACCCGAGTTCCCTGAGACTTTCTGCTGTCATTGTGTGACCGGGAATTACTACAATTAATTTGCTATTTATAGGTAAACTGTCTACAGCAGTCTCGGTATCGTTTCACAGATCAAAAGTGTCGTGTTCAATTCCAAGTAGCAGTCAGTCTGGTTGCTATGTATATTTTGAAAACACATTGTTTTCCGCAGGGCAAACAAGACCTTTAAAACTGGTGGTGGTGTCCCTGGTGCAATGCTTTGTGTCATTTGAAGAAGGTAATCAGTCAGGACAGTTGTATTTCTTCCAGAGAGGTTTTTGAATTCAAACCTTCACCTGTATGTACGCTAGGATTCTGGGCAAAATCATGACCAAATATAAGGGTGATTTTTCCATCAGTGAACACCAAAACCATACTTCCACTAGCTGCTGAACTGCTGCTAGTTTGCAGGCACAACCATACTGATTTCATACAGGTTAATGTGGGTTTTTTGTTGTTTTTTTTTTGTTTGGGTTTTTTTTTTTTTCTGTATAGCTGATCAGCCCAGGCTTGTGGTCTGTGGAGTGGAAGCTACAGTTGTAATGCACAGTAATTCACAAAAAAATCCCTTCTGAGCGCCAAAGTCTGACTCCTGTCACACTTTCTTTAGCTGTGAAGATTTCTACTTTGGCTTTTTCTGCATGCACTTGCAAAGGCATGCTTAAAGATGTTCAGCAGACAATTTGCCACTGCACATTGAAAACTTACGGTCTTCTCTTTCTCTTTAAGGAAATTTCTTTGTAAATATTCATTAGATATACATTCTGATGTCCCTGAAGCTCTCTGGGGAATATGGGTGAATGAGAATGTAATCCCAGTCAGATGGAGCCCTGTCAGGATAGAGGGCAGCAGATCACACGTTTCATTAACATGGCATAGGATAACTGTGGATGGAACTCGACTGAGAACGGCATGAAATACAAAGGAAAAAGTTAAAAGTGCTGTTCTGCTTGTGAAGAAGGAGTGCTCTGAAACACTCATCTCAGAATATGAAGTAGATTTGAAAGTAAGCAGCATGTGCTGCAGCAGTGCTTCTGGTGCTGTCACTGAAGGGTAAATTTAAGGGCACTTTCCCTGAGGGCTGATTAGGTTTGACATGTGCCACCACCACCCCACTGCAGGGCAGATGCAGAAATCTTCTGTCGCAGCTGAGTCAGCCTCAGGTAGTGACAACTCTTAATTGGTTTGCAAGCCCCAAACTTAAAACAACATCTGTTACTGACCAGCTATTCCCTATTTGTAAGCTATGAAGGCAAAATAATCCTGTCTGGTCTGTACCAACATACCTTAGCATCCTACAGGGAGGGAAGTGGTTCATCTGCCAGTCTGTTGACTTGTTACCCAACAGAATGATTCTGAGTATTTTATTAGTTTCATAGCAGTAAGCCTTGAGGAAGGTCCACTGGTGATTTGGAAGTAGAAGAAAGGCTGAGATCTGATCTGGCAAAGCTTGCTGGCATTGAGCGCTCATGAAAATTAATGCTAACGACTTCCCAAGTTAGTTAATGAGATCATGTGTTACATTACGCAGCTTCTGAATGTGAAAAAGCAACCCAAACAAATCCCAGACCACTAATGGTAATTGTGAAATACGATGATTTTGGTTTATCCTTGAAAACGTGTTTGTAAAAAAAAAAGCAGAGAGTAAAAATGACAGTCTTTTTCTTGCTCCTTTGCTTCTTCTGTGCCTGTGTGAATATTACAGACAAATTGCCTGGTTGACAGCTTTGTCACTTACAGAACAAAGAAAAATTTAATTTCATTTTTTTTCAATAGTTTCCATTTCCAGTAAGCAAATTTAAAGAGCAAAATGGATTGTGCTTGCTAAGTCTGTCTTTCCTAATATTCTATTTCTACCAGTGCTCTAAGAAAGTCAGGGCAGCCACAGAAGGATTCTGGCCATAGTTCACCTTCTTTGCTTCTAGCAGTTTAAAGTTCAGAAATTTTCTGAGCCAAAATTTCCATCTGGATCTTAATGTTTAATAGCTGTCAGTAGGCCCACTCTTCACAGATTTGTCCAGTTCCCTTCTCAAAACTGGTAACATTTTGTTTATCTTGTCTAGCAAGGTCTATAACTTAGTAATGTATTATTTAAAAAAAATGCTTCATCAGGTTTGTTTTCAGTTTGCTGCCTGTTAATTTCCTTGGGTGTCTCCTATGTCTGGTTTTATAAAAAATAATGAATAACCATTCCCTATTGACTGTCTGCATAACATCCATGACTATAAAGACGTCTGCTATATCATCCTCCTTCATCTTTTATTCAAGATGAAATATTTTGCCATGTTGAAGCACTCCTTTGCAGTGTGTCCTGATCCACATCACCTGTGCCACATTCCAGTTCACGGCACAGGAAAATTCTCTAATGTGCACTGTGGCTCTGGAGAGCGACTGGGGTGCATGGGAAGGGAGGGAGGGAGCCCGGGCTGCCCCAAGAGCTCTGGGCAGCAGAGGACTAGGTGACCGAGTGTACCCAGCATACCTAAGCTACAGGGTACAGACAGCCTCAGATATCATTTTCCATCCCTCTCATAGTCTCTAACGTCCTTCCTGAAGCTGGGTGGCCAGTGCACCAGCTGCGGGGATGCTATGCACTCGGACAGCACAAATCTAAAGGTGTTTTCTTCTTGCTCCCTTCCCTGATAATTCCTAACATCTGATTTGTCATTTTGATTACTACTAAAGTACCAAACTGATGCTTTCAGGGAACTATTCATAAATGGTTTACAGCATCACTCCCCTGAGTGCTACTCACTTAATTCAGAACCCATCACTCTATGTATATAACTGAGGCTATTTTTCCCCCATGTGTACTGCATACTTACTGACACTGCCAATTTATTACCCGTTTGGTATCGTGAGAGCCTGGAAAATACACAGCTACAGCTCTTCCCAGCTGGCTTTTGGATTTGACTTTTAATAATAATGCAGCAAACACGTATACCGCACTGCTCATCTCCTTTCCTCAGAGTACTTATAAATATGTTGAATTGCCAGAAGCTTCCTCAGGTTTACCAATATACAGTCCTCAGGATTACACCGATCCCTTTGTAAGAACTGGCATTGTGTTCCTTTTGCACTGAGACTAATTTAATTAAATATATCACATTCAGACCTGAACTACGATAGGCTTTGCCTACAAAATGTGTAGATTTAGGTTTTAAATACTCCAGTAAGCAATTACAGATTTTAAGATTTTTTGTTTCTGATCCATCTGTAAGACAATCAGAATAAATGTTTGCCTGTGAGCCAATGCTTCCAACTACTCCAAAACATAATTAGAAATAAACAGGTAGACTGGAATAAAAATCATAGACTGTAAGTCACAGACATTGCAAATCGAGACTGGAGGTTTTCTTAAAAGGAAAAGAACTTATAAACTTGAAAAAGAGCAAATTGAGGAAAATTCTGCCTTCTGTTTTAGGCAGGGTCAGACAAAATGTCCACAATGGCTGATTTGGCTTTGTGAATCTAAATATTCATCAGTTTTACTTCTTCCCCTCTATGCCTTGTTTTGTAAGCAACCTTTATCCGTTTACCGTAACAAGTTAAAGTGTTCCATTCTAGGAACAGGTGGCAGGTAAATAGCAATCCAGATTATATTAGCTTTTAAACTGTTCCAAATGCCTAACAGTAGGTTCCCATAAGCATCGGAAGGGCCTTGAAAATACTTTACCTTTTGCTCCAGCTTCACTTATACCAAAGCCCTCCTCTCCACGTGCTTGTAGTAAAAATTCCCCATTTATTCTATTCTTTCCTTATTAGGCGTTTTAGAAAGAAATCAAAACACAATACCTAGAGGCAGGACTCTCTTACACCACTTTAAATACGGAGTTCCCTTAATGACTGCTCTCAAATTGTATTGATATAAAAAGAGTGGATTTTGGCCAACTCACTGGTTCTTTTCTAATGTTTTCATGCTAAAATGGTGAAAGGAATATTCTGGAAAATCTTTTAAGTGGAATACATGTTATAGTAGCTGATGTAATTGGCTGCACGTCAGCATGCAATCTATGTTACGTC